TCTCCCTGTGCCAAATTGCAGGGAGAGCTCTCAAATGAGCTTTACTCAAAGGCTCAGGGACAGCAAAGCTCCAGGGGTTGTTTACACAGAAAATTCACATTTTTTTGGGTGCTGGGGAGCAGATGCACCATCCCATCTGCTGAGCCACCAGCAGAACCTTCTGCAGAAGGAGCCACATTTGGACTTGGAGCTGTGTGTGGTGGATCTCTGGGGCTTTCCTTATTGCAAATCCCTAAGAATTGCAGCAAAATCCCTCTGCACTGCTGGGATGTGCCCCAGGCTGGAGCCCTGTGCTGTTATTTCAGTGTTTGAAGCACCTGTGTGGATTCCTGGTGCCTGCTATGTGTGGCTTTTGTCTTCCAGTCCCTGACTCTGTTATTGAATCTGCTTTTCCCAGATTTGCAGTCTCCAAAAGCTCAGTTTCTGTGTCAGATGGGGCTGAGAGGGGCCACAGGCAGCACAGATAAACACACACGGTGGTTTTGTCCAGGAAACAAAGCTAAAAATAGTCACGATTCACAAAAACAGAGTGGAAAATACTGGTTTGCTGCTGCATGGAACAGGTACTATCCCATCTTGTGGGTTATTGAGCTGCCCCCACATTTGGAGCTCCTGTGCAGATGATTTTAGTGCTCCCCAAGCTGAGTCTGCTCTGGCAAACTGGGAGATTTTATTTTGACAGAGAAACACTTGCTTGGCAGTTCCTGTTGAACAGAACTGATCTTGAGACTTCCAAATATTCTTTTCCTTTTAATAAAAAGCCTTTTAAGTGTGTTTGTGCTGGGGGAGAAAGTGAGTGGTGTGAGCTGGGTGTTGAGTTCTGCAGTGAAGGGGGATCCTGGCTCCTGCTGGGGTGGTTCTGCTGCTTGTTTTGGGTGTAAAGGCTGAAGATGAGGGACCAGCAAAGCTCCAGGGGTTGTTTACACAGAAAATCCATGGGTTTTGGGTGCTGGGGAGCAGATGCACCATCCCATCTGCTGAGCCACCAGCAGAACCTTCTGCAGAAGGAGCCACATTTGGACTTCAGATCTTCAGACTTCCAAATATTCTTTTCCTTTTAAAAAAAAAGCCTTTTAAGTGTGTTTGTGTTGGGGGAGGAAGTCAGTGGTGTGAGCTGGGTGTTGAGTTCTGAATGAAGGGGGATCCTGGTTCCTGCTGGGGTGGTTCTGCTGCTTGTTTTGGGTTTAAAGCAGTGCCACGCTCAGGATTGCTGGGGCTTCCTGCAAACCACTCACACACCTTGGCCCCAGAGGCTTGGAGGGATGAGTGCTTTGCGTATTGGAGCAAAAGGAGCTCAGAAATTTGGCCTGATGCAGTTAAAAGCCGTGAAATCGCCTGATTTCAGCCCAGGATTCATTAAATAACCATAAAGTCAGCACAGCCTCACCATCCACACACCTCTGGCTGCTGCAGGTGCAAATCCTGGCCATGGCAATTCCCATTTCCCATCCCTCCTCCTGCTGCCATCATGAAATCCATGTCTTGTTCAAGCTACTGTTGTTGCTTTCCTTTTTCTTGAAAAGAAAACCCCAAAGAATGTTCAATTCTGCCTTGGCAGCTGCGAGGCACGGACAGATTGTGCTTGAAAAAAATGGCAAAGTTTCAAAATATTGTGTTCTGTGAAGAAGAGACAAGGAAAATAAACTCCCCAAAATGCAGATTTTATTTCCCTAGGAGGAAAGGCTTTTAGTGTTTATTTGGGTTTGGCTTTTTGCTCCCTGGTTCTGCTGACACCACTTGAGAACCAAGATAAGATTCAACGCTGCACAACCTGTTCTGGGTCCAGTTCAAATCAAAATTTCCAGTGGGTTCATTTTCTCCCTCCCTCCCTGAGCCTGGGGACAGCACATGGGGTGGTGCAAGCAAAGCCTTGAGGGATAAAATGGAAAAAAGGGAATAACAGAGCAAATTTGTGCCTGGTTTTTGTTTGATTTCGGTCGTGCCAGAGTGAATCCTTGGGGTTTGCCAGGAGGAGCTGCTGAGTGTTCACAGGGACAGTTCAGCCCTAAAAGGAGCAGTTAGCTCTTCTATAGGCAATTTGGTGGATTTTGTGTCTCTTTTCCATGTGCAAAATCAGTTTGAAGATGTTTTTCCTGTGCCTGTCTCGTTTCCTTGAGGATGCAGGGAGGTGGCAGCTTGGGAAATGCCAGAGGAGCAGGGATTTTGTTTTCCTGCACTGCCAGCCCTGTATTTTTGAGATTCCTTTTTTAGGATGAGGTGCCAGCATCCAGAACAGCTCTCCCATTGAACATCCCACAGATCTGAGGTGCCCCTGGCACAGCTTGGGCAGGAGAGGGAATCTGGAGCAGCCAGCACCAGAGAACTCTGCAAATCAATGTGGCTCCCCAAAATTCCAGCACAACCCAAGAAGGGCAAAAAAATCCCAAATTTTCCACCCAAAGGGTCCCGTTCCAAAGAGCCCCAATCATCCTGAATTGAAAACTCAGCAGAATAAAAATCTGCTGAAGATCTTCAATGTGCAAACCACTGATGGAGGAGAGCTCTGCAAACCAAAATGGTTCCTCGAGCCCCACCATGACCCAGGAAGGGCCAAACCCCAAGATTCCCCCCCCAAAGAGCCCAAATCACCCCAAAACCCCACTAAAATTTGGTCTTTGCAGGATTTCACTCCTGGGCTGTGCTCCTCAGCACGTCCTTGACTGGCTAGGGGAAGGTGGTGAAGCCCAGAATGAGCAGAGCCCAAAACTCCACCAGAACCCAGGAAGGGCAAAAAATCCCAAATTTTCCACCCAAAATGTCCCATTCCAAAGAGACCCACTCATCCTGAATGGAAAACTCCACAGGATGAAAATTTTCTGGTTTTTAGAGTTGTTTTTGTTTCCTCGCACACCAGCTTTTACTCTTTGGGAAAGCTCAGAGCTGTGCTTTGTGCTCTCCATGACCTTGCTGCTTTTATTTTACTATTCCTGTGTGAGTTGGGAGCTCCTGGGAGCAGAGAATTGGGGTTTTTTTCCCCATTTTTTTCCCTGTGTGCATTCACAGCTCTGTTATTTCTAATCCCAGTGAGTGTACGCAGGGGTTTCCAATAAATGCTCTTTCCACAAGGTGTCAGCTGGGTTCTTGCAGCCTGCCCCATCCTGGAGTGACTTTGTCAAATTTTGTCCATCTTTTGGAGCAGATGAAGAAAGAAAAATACTAAAAAACCACCAAAACCCCACTAAAATTGGGGAAAAAACCTCCACCAAAACCCCAAACCCAAACAAACAAAAAAAAAATCTTAAAAAAAAACCCAAACAAAAACAAAACAAAAAATCCCCAACAACAACAACAGCAACAAAACAACCCAAACCCCAAAACTCTAAAAAAATGCTAATCTGAATTGATTAATTGATTCCTACAGGTCGTTTTCCATCCTGGGTGCTGCCCTTTGATCCCCTCTGGCACTGGGATGCACAGGCATCTATTGATGTGTCAAAAGGAAAAACAAATTCAGACATGTATAGGTGAGGTTTGAGAGAGAGGGCTGGGAACAGAGAGTAAAACTCCAGCTTAAAAAAAATTTAATTAATAGAAAATGTCAGATTAAAAGTGCTGAACACCTCAATTAAATTGTGTCTTTGTGCGGGGGGTGGACCAAAGTATAGGTGAAGTTTGAGAGAGAGGATTGGGAAGAGAGAGTAAAATTCCTGCATTAAAAAAAAATAGTAATTAATAGAAATTGTTATATTAAAATGCTGAATGCCTTGATTAGATGCTTGTGCCTTCTTTGGGGGGGTGGACCAAATTATAGGTGAAGTTTGGGAGAGAGAGTTGGGAACACAGAGTAAAAACCCTGCTTAAAAAAAAAGATTAATTAGTAGAAATTGTTAGATTAAAAATGCTGAATAACTCAATAAATTGTTCCTTTTTTGGGGGGGAGGATGGACCAAGTTATAGGTGAAGTTTGAGAGAGAGGGTTGGGAACAGAGAATGAAAATCCTGCTTAAAAAAAAAAAAGAGTAATTCATAGAAATTGTTAGATTAAAAATGCTGAATACCTCAATTAAATTGTGCCTATTTGGAGGGGGGGGATGGACCAAATGATAGGTGAAGTTTGAGAGAGTTGGGAACAGAGACTAAAACTCCTGTAGTAAAAAAATAGAGTAATTAATAGAATATGTCAGATCAATAATGCTGAATACCTCAGCTAGATTCTTGTGCCTTTTTTGGGGGGGATGGACCAAAGTATAGGTGAAGTTTGAGAGAGAGAGTTGGGAAGAGAGAGTAAAGCTCCTGTATTAAAAAAATAGAGTAATTAATACAAAATGTCAGATTAAAAATGCTGAATGCCTCAATTAGATGCTTGTGCCTTTTGGGGGGATTTTATTACCCAGGCAAGCAGGCAGATGTTTCCCTTGGGGTTTGGTGCCATGGGTGATGTTTCCAGGTTGTTTTCTCCCAGGGCCTGGATCTGTGCAGTCATGAAAAGCTTCTGGTGTTTCTCAGCTCAGCAAAGCTTGGCTGGTCAGTGTGAATAGAAACAAATGGCTTTGAAGCCTCCAAACTCGAATTCTGCTTCCTTTTTGCTGGGTTTGTAGTGACCAGGAGATGAAAGGTGCAGTTAAACAGAATCACAATCTGCACTTTCAGGTGCAATTTTCAGGAGATGTTCCATCCTGCCAGGGTTTGAAGTTCTGTATCTGGAATGGTTTTTAAATCTGAGAAGTGTTTGAAGGGTTCCTATGTGGGCAGGAGCAGAAATACCTTTCCCTTTGCATGTTCTCCTGGGCTGCCTTTGCCAGAGCTCTTGCCTGGTTTCTGGAGCATGTTGGCAGGCAGAGCTCACAGGTTTTAATGAAACCCTGCTGAACAAAGGCACTTTATGTTTGAACTCTGTGCCCTCGGTCTGCCCCACCAGCCTGGCTGGGCATTTCTCTTAAATGAGCTCAGCAAATACAGACAAGCTGTGTTTTGCAAATTAACCCCAAACAAATCACACCAAACAACAACAACCACCAGAAAGTGCCTTTCTTTAACTCTGCTTCTTTCTTGTTTTACAGGCAAGAAGAGAAACCCTGGGCTGAAAATTCCTAAAGAAGCATTTGAGCAACCACAGACGAGCTCCACGTAAGTCTGCAAGCACTGGGGCAGAGTGAAAAGCAAACCACAAAGCCCAGCTGCCCTCCAGCCTTGGATGGAGCTTGGAACACCCTGGGACAGTGGAAGTTGTCCCTACCCATGGCAGGGAGTGGAATTAAATGATATTTAAGGTCCCTTCCAACCCAAGCCATTCTGGGATTCTGTGATAATTTCTCATTTCCCAGGGAGTCTCAGCCCCATCAGTCTCATGTGCTGCTGGATGAGGCAGTAAAAGATAAGAAGATAAGGAGCAGAAGAAAAAGATAAAAAAAGAAAAAGTTAAAAACCAGAATGGGCCCCCAATTTTTATTGGTGTGGCACTTTGGCAGCAGTTTGAGCAGCAGGCATTTGGTCAAGGCATGAAACTCATAAACCCTTGCAGAAGGAATCCCTCTGGTTTTAGGGCCCTTTGTGCATCCCCAGCTTTCTTTGTTCCTGTGGTTTGAGTTTTCAGCCTGTGCTGTGGGACTGAGGTGAGGCTTTACAGCAGCTTTGGATGCTCCTGCCCGTGTAATGCACTTTTCCTAAAGCTGGCAGCGGTTTGGTGCTTGCCTTGATTCCACAGTGAATCCCTGTGGGGTCCTGCAGGGCCAGGCTGGGGGTGAGAAATGCCAACTCCAGCTGCTTTTTTCCCTCTTTTTGGGGTGACTTTGTGGATTTGTTGATCCTGCAGAGCCAGGATCAACAGATCCACAAAGTTACCCCAAAAAGGATCCTGAAGGATCCCTCAGGGAAGGTGTGAGGGCATGGCTTGGGGGCTGGATTTAGTCACTGAGGGAAAATTGACTTTTGTAGGGAATATTTCAAATCTTTTCCCTTTTTTTTCATGCAGGCCACCCAGAGATCTGGACTCCAAAGCCTGCATCTCTATTGGTGAGGAGGTAAGAGTGAGACCTCTGGCACCAGAGACCATCCTGGGCTGGCTGCTTGTGGGATTGCTTCACTTCAACCCCCTAGAAAGGGCAGAAAATTATAATTAACATTATAATTTATATGTTTTAACATATAATTTTTATATATCTATATAAAAATATGAAATATTTATATGTATGATTTATATATAAATATATTATTTATGAGTACATATATTTATAAATATATTAATAGATATTTAAATATATTATATAAAAATATATTATTTATATATAATTACCATTATAATTTATATATTTTAACATATAATTTATAGATATAAAAATAGAAAATATTTATATTTATATATAATTTTTATATAAATATGAATATATTATGAATATATATTTATATAAATGTATAAATATATATTTAAATATATTATATAAAATAGATACATTATTTATATATAATTAACATTATAATTTATACATTTTAACATATATATATAAAAATAGCAAATTATAGTTATATATAATTTATATATAAATGTATAATTTATAAATATATGAATATATTAAATAAATTATATAGAAATATAGAATATATTTAAATATATATTTAAATATATATTAATATATTATTTATATATTTATTTTTCTATATTATTTATATATAATTAACATTATAATTTATATATTTAACCTATAATTTATCTATATAAAATATTATAATACTAGAATTAATTATCATTAACATTACAATATTAATAATGGTTATAATTAACATTATAATGTTATAATTAACATTAGCAGCCCATTTTACCTGAAAGAAAAAGCAGCTGCTGGAGGAATAACAGCTGAGAAGCTCCAAGCTGGGAGCCCCTGAGCTCTGGGGGTTTGTGCAGGCAGAAATTCCCAAGTGCCCCTGGTGTTTGTGCTCGTCGGGCAGGGCTGTGTGGGTGGGAGCTGGAGCTGCTGTTGGCACTGCCCAGCATCACCCCCTGCCTGCCCTGGCACGTGGGCTCCCTGCATATTTTCCACCATGGAAATTCCTTCCTTGCTGCCCTGAGGTGCAGCTAATCCCCTGGAAATGGCCATTATCAAGCAAGGGGGTTGATAACAGGGTTGTTTTACTCTCCTCTGCTGTTCCTTTGCTGCTTTAAAGCCTTCACCTAAAATATTTCTCTGTGCTGATGTTGAAGGTCATCTCCTCCAGGAGGTGAACTCGGGGTGGATCTTCCTGCCCTGATTGCAAACCAATCCACCTGGATTAAAAAATATATAAGGGAAAAAAAACAAACCCCAGGCCAGTGATTTTGATAGGAGGAAAAGGCAGAGCAGAATTCAAAAAAGCACTTTAAAGCTGGACAATAAATGTATGAGGTGCAAAGGATAGGTGTCAGTGAGGTAATTTATGCAGTGAAATTCTAATCCAATAGTGGTTTGAAATGCCGGATTTTGGAGGCTTTCCTTTCATTTTGGATTTTGTATTTGGAGCAGGGGCTGGGAGGTGAAACATGGTGCAGCAGGGAGGCAGAGCAAATTCCTGAGCAATGTCCCCTCACAGCTCTGTGGTCACCGTGGTGCTGGCTGATTCCCCTGCATTATATATTTTTTTTTATTTGTATATTTACATATATATATATACATACAGATATATATACACAGATATATATATATATATATACATATATATTTATTTATATTTTTAGAAATGTCTTTATATGTGATATACAATTTATCTATTAAATATATTATTTAAGATATATAAATATAATATAAATATAAAATATATAGATATATAAATTATATAACTAGATTGAATAATTTATTATTTATATAATATCTATGTAATCTATATACTATTTATCTATTAATTATATTATTTAAACTATGCAAGTATAAAATGAATAAATAGAAATATAAAATCATGTATATAAGTATATTATATAAATTATATAACTAGATTGAATATTATTTACTATTTTATTATTTATATAATAATATTATATTTATTATTTAATGTCTATTATATAATTAATAATTATCCAATTTTATGTAAAGTATAAATTATTATATATTATATAACTAATAATAACTAAAATATAATGATATTATTAATAATGTTTATTATATGAATTATTATATAATTTATAATATTTTATTTATTTAATGTTATCTATTATTGACTATTTTATTATCGTATAATTACATACTATATTATTATTATCTATTATATAGTATATAGTATATAGTATATAGTATATAGTATATACTAGATACTATATACTAGATACTAGATACTGTATAGTATATAATAGATATGCTATATATTATATACTGTATATACTGTATATAGTATATATATTATTATTTAGTATATATTATATATGTTATATTTATATAATAACTCCCAGCCTTGGGAGTTTATCCCAGCTGGGGAGGGGATGCACAACAAGGGGAGGATGTGCCAGGCAGGGCTGCACTGGGGGGGCTGCAGGGCTGCACTGGGGGCTGCAGGGCTGCACTGGGGGCTGCAGGGCTGCACTGGGGGGTCAGAGCACAGCACAAACCCCCAGGGCTCTGCTGCCTTCTGTCCCCCAGAACTTTGAGGTGAAGGCCGATGACCTGGAGCCCATCTCGGAGCTGGGCCGGGGCGCGTACGGCGTGGTGGAGAAGATGCGGCACATGCCCAGCGGGCAGATCATGGCAGTGAAGGTACCAGAGCTGGGGGATCTGCCCTCCTGGGGGCTGGGGTGATGGGGGAGATTAAACAGGAAAACCTTATTAATATGATTGCCTGGCAAAAGGTTTGGAGAATATGGAAACTGTAAGGGAGATTGAAATGAAAGCAAGCTTTGAGATCCCTCAGTTACTGAACAACTGGAAAACAATGGTGTGGCCGGCTGAAGGTGATCCCCTTTTGATGGAACAACACCCTCTGCTTGCAGACAGGCCCAGACCCTGCAGCTTGGCAGAAGGGGTCCAAAGAGGAGTTTTTAGGGTTTAAAATGTAACACAGTATGGTAATGTAATGATTCTTATAGGCTGTATGGAGATGCTATAGGATTTGTATCTTGTAGTAGATTGGTTAGTGAGAATTAGAATATTCAACACAGAAGAAGATTTTATTGTATTGTAACAGGAACCTCACTCTCTTACCCTCTTTTCCTCTCACCCTCTCTTCACCCTCTCTCCCCCTCTCTTCTCTCAGCCTGCTCTGAGCTGTGGCTGCAGCTCCCAGCAGGGTCCTGCCCTTGGCCCTTTGCAATAAACCCCAAGCTCCTGACCTGGCTGCAGAGATCTCTCATCTCCATCCATCCCGACCATCCTAGATATAGAAAAAAATAAAAATAGCTACAAAGGTGAATAAGGAGTTTAGAATGCAGCGCTGTAGGTTTGTGTGTCATAACATGATTGGCTAAGAAAGCTCACACTGCAGCATGAGTCCATAAGACAAAATATTGAAGGATTGGGTCAGTATTGTGTTTGCACGGACCCTCGTGGCAGGAAGGAATGATGAATCTGACTCCATGTTCTCAGAAGGCTAATTTATTATTTTATGATACTATATTATATTAAAGAATAGTATACTAAACTATATTAAAGAATACAGAAGGGATACAGACAGAAGGCTAAAAAGATAATAATGAAAAGTTGTGACTCTCTCCAGAGTCCTGACACAGCTTGGCCCTGATTGGTCATTGAGTCAAAATAATTCACACTGGAATTCAATGAAACAATCACCTGTGTGTAAACAATCTCCAAACACATTCCACATGAGCACAACACAGGAGAAGCAAATGAGATAAGAATTGTTTTCCTTTTTCTCTGAGGCTTCTCAGCTTCCCAGGAGAAGAATCCTGGGCAAAGGAATTTTTCAGAAAATGTGAATGTGACAGGTCAAACCCATAAACATCCTTGTGAACACCCCGTGGGTGCTGGGCTGGGGACGTGCCTGTGACAAAGGGGTGACAGAGGGGTGGCACGAGGGGTGCTGGGGGGTTCCAGGTGTGCCCAAGGCCCTGGGGCTGCCACACTGACCCGCTGTGTGTCCTGCAGAGGATCCGAGCCACAGTGAACAGCCAGGAGCAGAAGAGGCTGCTGATGGACCTGGACATCTCCATGAGGACAGTGGATTGTCCCTTCACTGTCACCTTCTACGGGGCACTCTTCAGAGAGGTGAGGCTTCCTGGGGCTCAGTTCCCTCTCCTGCACTTCTGCAGGTGCCAGGGGTTTAATCTGCACCTGCACATGGACATGGAGGTTTTAGTCCTGTCACTCACTGTGCCTGTGGGACAGCCTGGTCCCATCGTGTTAAAATTGCCCTGGCTTGGTTTCATCCACGTGGAAAGCTCTGAAAAGGAGGATTTATGGAAGAGCTTGAAGCGCAGCTCTGCAGAGCTGAACTTTTCCTGGCTGGGCATTGGGAGCCTCAGTTCCTGATAATTTTCTGGGCTCCTAAATCACCGTGGTTCTGCTTTGGGAAGGGGATGCCCTAAATGGTAGGGAATGTGCACTGCACTGAATTCCAGAGCAGGGAAAAGAGAGCCCAGGACAGCTTTGAATGGGTTTAGAAAAACAAAAAAAGAGAAGGGGAAAGGGGGAAGGGAAGGGGAAGGGAATTTCAAGGAAATTTCAAGGAAAGGAAAGGAAATTTCAAGGGAATTTCAAGGAAAGGAAATTTCAAGGAAATGAAAGGAAATTTCAAGGAAATGAAATGTCAAAGAAAGGAAAGGGAAAGAAAGGAAGGGAAAGGAAAGGGAAAAGAAAGATGTTTTGTTGAAATCTCTGGGTGTCTGCTTGCTTTGCTCTCCAGGGAGATGTGTGGATTTGCATGGAGCTGATGGATACCTCACTGGACAAATTCTACAAACACGTCATTGACAAAGGCCTGACGATCCCTGAGGACATCCTGGGGAAAATCGCCGTCTCTGTGAGTGGCAGCAGGGGGAGGAGGGCAGGGAAAGGGGTTTATCTTCTAAGCCAGGTCCTTCCTGGCTCTGTGGGCACCAGGAGGAGGCTGGTCCATGTGCCAGCACATGTGGCCATTCCCATGCTGGTCTGATGTTGTTTATAAGCCATAAATGTGCCCATCCATGCACATGATGGAGAGCTGGCCCAGTCTGAGGTTTGGGGAAGCTCCTGCATCTCCTTTATGGTTTATAATCCAAAAATGTGCTCATCCACACACATGATGGAGAGCTGGACCTGTGTGAGGTGTAGGGAGGCTCCTGAAGCTCCTTTATGGTTTATAAGCTATAAATGTGCCCAGTGTGAGATGTGGGGAGGCTCCTGCAGCTCTGAATGTGCCCATCCACACACATGATGAAGAGCTGGCCTAGTGTGAGGTGTGGGGAGGCTCCTGAAGCTCCTTTATGGTTTATAAGCCATAAATATGCCCAGTCTGAGGTTTGGGGAAGCTCCTGCAGCTCCTGTATGGTTTATAAGCCATAAATGTGACCAATATGAGGTGTGGGGAGTCTCCTGCAGCTCCTTTATTGTTTATAAGCCATCAGTGTGCCCATCCACACACATGATGGAGAGCTGGTCTACTGTCAGGTGTGGGGAGGCTCCTCAGCTCCTTTCCCTTCTCACTGAGCTTCTGGAGCCCCCAGGAATGTCTCTGGGTACCCCCCAACCCTCAGGCTGCTGGCAGGGTGCGGGACTCATGGGGGATTTGGTTTTCCTGCCCTCCTGGCAGGTCTGGGGGTGAAGCCAGGTGTCATTTCCTCCTCCTCGTGGTGCTGCCAGCTGTGACTGACTCTGGGTTTGTTGTTTCAGATTGTAAAAGCACTAGAACATCTCCACAGCAAGCTGTCTGTGATCCACCGAGGTGAGTGCCAGGCGCACCCTGCCCTGCTCCCAGCCTGGGCTCCCAAAACACCCCGGATAGAGTGAGCTTTTGACAGCAGGAATGCTCCCCAGCATCTCCTGACTTCAGCAAAATCCAGGCACAGGAGATGGCTGCTGTTTGCTCCTTAAAATCTGCCTGCTGCTCCCAGTGTTTCCCTGAGTAAGAGGAGGGCCTGTTTCCCTAAACCCATAAACCCTAAACCCATGGTGTGCTTCATCACCTGGGTGAAATTCAGCCTTTTTCCCTGGGTGAAATTCAGCCTTTTCCCCTGATCTTGGAAAGCCTTGGAACAGGCTCTGCAGAGGTTTGTCCCCCAGCTCCATGGCTCTGTGGGAGGGGATCTTGGACCCCTGGTGCCTGCTGAGAATTTGAGATTTTCTGTCCTGCCAGGCTCTGACCCCCAAGAGAACACTGCATGGACCTGGGGCCCTGGAGAAGCTTCCAAAATTAAATTATAGCACTGGGATTGTGGGTGTGGAGTTTGAATAGAATTTCCATCACAGGGTGGAAACTCAGAGTTTGGGTGGTTAGAATATAGTAATATATATATAAAGGAAGATGGAAGTTTTAGGGTGGAGGCTGCTTCTTCTTCTTCTCCTTCTTCTCCTCCTTCTTCTTCTTCTTCTTCTTCTTCTTTCTCCATGGGTTTGGGTGGTTTTGTGTAATTGGATAAAAAAGTCCCCATTGCAGCCATGAGTGGTTGGTTATTGGGTTAAAAGTAAAAATAATCGAGGTGTCATTTCTTAATTGGACGGTTTAGCGTTAAAAAGCCTTGTAGAGAGAGATGGGGCTCCAGTTTTAGTTTGTTAGAGTGAAGTGCTGCAGAACTCAGGGGTTGTGAGACTGTGACATAGATAAGAACTGATAAACATCTGATAAACAAGAAATACCCTCTAGCACATTTAATCCTAACCTTGGGATTAAAAGAAGCAAAGGATCTGCAGAGGATGTTTGATTTCCAATGGAAACTTAGAGTTTAAGCTTTTAGAATACAGCAATATATATAAAGTTTAATACATATAAAGTGTGTAAGTTTTATATATGAAATCCACAAGGGATCTCCCTTCCAACCTCATCCTCCCATCCTCACCCCTTCCCTGAGCTTCCCTGAGTGCAGCAGAGCAGTCTGACACCTAAACCAGCCTCAAACCAAATCACAAATCCCCTCCTTAAACTCTTCTAGAGGGCCTCAAAGCTGCCTTGAACACACTCAGAAACAAACCCGCAGTTGCTGTGTGACACCTTTATTTTCAAAGGGTAATTTTCAGTTTGTCCTGAGGAGGAAGGAGTGTGTGAGTGCCTGGGAAGCAGCAGGGTTCAGCTGGAGCAGGCAGTGGCACTGGCTCTGTTCCTCCTGTGCCTGGGGCAGAGTTTCTGCCTTGTGCCTCTTGGCTGCTCTGTGTTCCTTGTGCCTTGGCCCAGCACGCCCAGGTGACAGTGACTGTGCTCTGTGTTCCTTCTTGCAGATGTAAAGCCCTCTAACGTGTTGATCAATACGCAGGGGCAGGTGAAAATGTGCGACTTTGGCATCAGCGGGTACCTGGTTGACTCTGTGGCTAAAACCATGGATGCAGGATGCAAACCCTACATGGCTGTAAGTGCAGCAGGCAGAGCAGCAGGAGCCTGGGGGGGGAAGGAGCAGCAGCTCCTGCCCTGGGGATTCCTTTGGGGAGCCTGTTGTGTTTTCAGGGACCCTCACGGCAGGGAGGAATGATGGATCTGACTCCACGTGCACAGCTCATGGGCTGTGTGGGCTAAGGGGGCTGGGCCGGCACCCTGAGAGACCCTCCCTGGGCACGGGCAGGGCACTGAGGGCATCCCCTGCTCACCTGGGCATGGGCAGGGCACTGGGGGCACCCCTGCTGCTCCTCACCCCCCTTTGTGTCTGTTGGCAGCCGGAGAGAATCAACCCCGAGCTGAACCAGAAGGGATACAGCGTCAAATCTGACATCTGGAGCCTGGGCATCACCATGGTACGGCCACCTGGGGGTCACCTGGGGCTGCCATCACCATGGCAGGCTCACCTGGGGGTCACCAGGGTCACTTGGGGGTCACCAGGCTTACCTGGGGATCACCGTGGCAGGGTCACCTGGGGATAACCATGGTGGTATCACCTGAGGGCTGCCAGGGCTGTCACCTGGGGGGATCACCATGGAAAGGTCACCTGGGCATCACCATGGCAGGGTCACCTTGGGGTCACCAGGGGATCACCATGGTTGGGTCACCTGTAGCTGCCAGGGCCACCAGGAATGCTCGGTGTGGCTCATGGGTTCATTCTCCTCCCCGCAGCGGCACTGCTGGCACAGGGTGGGCAGGGATGGAGCTCAGGCAGGTGCCCAGGGTGGAAGGGAGGGAGGAGGAGGAGCCGCTGTGTCAGCTGTGGCTGCTGTGGAGCTGCAGCTGCCGGGAGATGGCAGCATGGGCTAAGGCACGATGATGGAGTGCACAGCCGGCACTGCCAGCACAGAGAGCCCTGCCTGCACTCAGCCACCCACAGAGGCCCTCTCAGGACAGCAGGGACGGGGGGCATCCCAGGCAGTGTTTGGGGAATCCATCTGCTCCCAGATTTACCCTGTGCAGGGTGGGCTGGTTTTTCCCAGGGATTGTGGCAGGGGTGACAGGATTGCCTGTGGAGCTGCCCGGGCTCCTCCTGCCTCTCCTGTTTGCTGGGGGGGGATAGCAATGTGCTGTGGTGAGGAAATCATGGAATCCCACAATGGTTTGGGTTGGAAAGGGCCTTAAAAATCTTCCCATTCCACCCCCTGCCATGGGCATCAACACCTTCTGCTACCCCAGACTGCTCCAACCCTGTCCAGCCTGGCCTTGGACACTTCCAGGGATCCAGGGACAGCCACAGCTGCTCTGGGCACCCTGTGCCTCACCACCCTCACAGCGAACAATTCCCTCCTAATATCTTCTGATCCCCTTCTGATCTGTATCTCTCTTTTAGTTTCAAAGCAATCCCCCTTGCTCCATCACTGTCTGTCCATGTAAAAAGTCCCTGTGCCTCTTTTCTGGAATCCCCCTTTAGGCACTGCAAGAGGGGGTCTAAAATCTCCAGGCTGAACAAGCCCATTTGTCTGGAGCCACAAAAGCACACTCTGGGCGGACATGGGGCCATCCCAAACCCATGGGGTGGGTGGGTGGCCGTGGGGTGTCCCCCTTGCTATCAGGGTCATCCCAAACCCATGGGGTGGGTGGGTGGCCGTGGGGTGTCCCCCTTGCTATCAGGGTCATCCCAAACCCGTGGGTGGGCGACTGTGGGGTGTCCCCTCCTGATGGGGCCATCCCAAACCCATGGATGGGTGGTTGGGGGGTGTCCCCTCCTGATGGGGCCGTCCCAAACCCCATGGGTGGGTAGCTGTGGGGTTTGTCCCCTCCTGAGTCCGCTCTGTGCTGCAGATCGAGCTGGCCATCCTGCGCTTCCCCTACGACTCCTGGGGCACCCCGTTCCAGCAGCTGAAGCAGGTGGTGGAGGAGCCCTCCCCACAGCTCCCAGCAGAAAGGTTCTCAGCAGAGTTCGTCGATTTTACCTCGCAATGGTAAAACTTCCCCTCTTCTCCCTCTCTTTCCCTGGCCCTGCTCACCCTCACAGGCAGCTCTGAGCCCCAGTTCTGGGCAGAACCTTCCCTGTGCCCTCGTGCCTGGCACACAGCAGGGCTGGGGGGTCTGTCTGAGGGGCAGGAGGGGCCACAGGGGGTTTGGGAGGGGCACAGGGGGTTTAGGAGTCTCCTGGCTCTGATTGCCCCCATTCCAGCAGCACAGGGTGCCACACACAGCCCCAGTGACCCCAAACTGTGACCCCAAACTGTGCCACACACAGCCCCATCCCAATGACCCCAAACTGTGCCACACACAGCCCAATGACCCCAAACTGTGACCCCAAACTGTGCCACACACAGCCCCATCCCAATGACCCCAAACTGTGCACAGCCCCATCCCAATGACCCCAAACTGTGCCACACACAGCCCTGTCCCAATGACCCCAAACTGTGCCACACACAGCCCCATCCCAATCCCCCCAAACTGAGCACAGCCCCATCCCAATGTCCCCAAACTGTGTTCCTGCAGGGGGACACAGCTCTGAGGGCAGGTTTTGCCCCATGCTGGCCCCTCTGCCCGGTCTCCGTCCCTCTCCTGGGGCCCTGGGGCTGCTGCTGTGCTTTCCCCAGCCCTGGCAGCAGCAGGAGGATTTGCTGTGCTGCAGGACAGGGCTGGAGCAGCCCTGCACAGGGAGCTCAGGCAGCCCCTGCCCTGGGCTGGGTGTTCCAGGCAGGCCCTGCAGTGCCACCCACCCACTGCCAGGCTGGCCACAAAGGGTGGCAGATGGACAAACAGAAATGTGAGACTGTCCTGGGCTGCCAGCACCAGGGCTGTGCTGTGCCCCAGAAGGGAACTGTCAGCTGCTGCTGCCTGGGGACTCTCAGTACCCACGTTTGGATTCCTCAGAGTCCTGTTCCAGCCTGTTTTCATGCCCCTGGGTCCAGCTGCTCAGCTCCTGCCCCACGCTGTGCCCGTGCTCACAGGGGTCTGAGGGTGAGGGAAGAGACGAGGATCTGACTCCATGTTTCAGAAGGCTGATTTATTATTTTGTGATATATATATATTAAAACTATACTAAAAGAACAGAAGAAAGGATTTCATCAGAAGGCTGGTGAAGAGTAGAATTGAAAAGAATGATAACAAAGGTTTGTGGCTCTGCTCTGTGTCCAAGCCAGCTGGGCTGTGATTGGCCATTAATTAGAAACAACCACATGAGACCAATCACAGATGCACCTGTTGCATTCCACAGCAGCAGATAACCATTGTTTACATTTTGTTCCTGAGGCCTCTCAGCTTCTCAGGAGGAGAAATCCTAAGGAAAGGATTTTCCATGAAAGATGTGTGTGACACCACGCTGGGGAATCCCTGCCATGCCCACAGTGCCCTGGCTCTGGGGGAGCTGCCTTGGAAAATCCTTCCCACAAGGTGCCCCCTGTTCTTGCCAAGCCCACGCTGAGGATTTGCAGCAGCTGCTGTTCTCAAACAGTGCTGCTGGCTCTGCTGCTTCCCTGCTTGTGCCAGCCAGGCTGCTCCTCTCTGGGGATTTGCTTTTCCAAGCCCTGTGTCCTGCAGCTCGGGCTGTGGCTGCTTTAGGATTTACATCCACAGCCACTCTGGTGATTCCTGTCTTGGCAAATCCTGTCCTCCAGGGTCACTGGAGATCCCTGACTGCCAGCAGAGTGGCATGGGCTTGGAATGGTGAACTTTGCACCAGTTTTGTGCAAAGGACTGGAATGGTGAACTTGGAATGGTCAACTTTGGTGAACTTTGCACCAGTTTTGTGTTATTGGGGTCTGGGAATTCCTTCTGACACCAAACCAGGTCACAGCCACTCTGTGCTTAGGACTGTGTCTGTCCATCTGCTGCCTGAAGTCTGATCAGCTGTAGGCACTGCAGGAAGGTCCCTGGGATATCTGAGTCAGGATCACATCCCAATATAACTCTTCATTCCTGAAAATTTACATTGATTTCAGTAACTTATCACCAGATTTCCTGCTGTTAGCAGCCTGGGCATGAATTGGTTTTGTGTAGGGTCTAAATTAAGAGAATTGCACCAAATCTGGACGCAGCTAACCTTCAAATTCACCTTGTCTTGGCTGGGAGGATGTGACACATCCCGAACCTTCGGGCCGGCGATATTGGCACGTACGGGCCCCGGGTTCCTCTGTTCATTCACAACATGACACTAAACACGAGCCCTCTACACACAGCAAGCAGGAAATATCTATTCAGTGTGTGTCCTCTGCTTCCTCTGGGCCCCAGCAAATCCTAGCAGAGGTTCTCACTTTTGTTTTGCTCAGTGTGACACCTTTTCCCCGCCACCGCCGCGTACGTGTGCGAAGATCTTTTCAAGTTGCTCCAAGTTTCTTTCCCCTAAATACACTGCCAGGAAGTGAGTAGAGATTGCGTCCTGTCTTTTAAAAAGCTATTTTCTGCTGGAGGGAAACCAAAATAACTTCCAGCTACAACCCTCCAGGGCCATCTGTTGTAGGAGAGGAGAAGAAAAGGATGTCCCATGGAAGCGTCCCCGCTGATAACGGCGCGGTGATAAACAAACAGCTGGGCACGTGCTCTGCAGCCACTCAGTCGCTGCTCCCAGGCACTGCTCAGACCATGAATCCTTCCCTGAGCCACTGGCCTGCTGGAGAGCACCCAAACTCCCAGTTGTGCCAGCAAGAAGCAGTGTTTTTGTGGTGGTTTTGGTGGCTCCAGGTGTCTCGGTGGATGCTGAGCTCTTGTACCCAGCACTGTCCCTGTCCTCAACACTTAAATTTTTCCTCAGCTTGGAGGTGCAGAGTCTTTAAACCTTATTTTGTTGTAGGAGAGCAGAGTCTTTAAACCTTACTCTGTTGTAGGAGAGGAGAAAAAAAGGATGGCCCATGGAAGAATTCCCTGATGATAACAGCGCAGTGATAAACAGCTGGGCACGTGCTCTGCAGCCACTCAGTCACTGCTCCCAGGCACAGCTCAGAGCCTGAATCCTTCCCTGAGCCACTGGCCTGCTGGAGAGCACCCAAACTCCCAGTTGTGCCAGCATAAATCAGTGTTTTGAGTGGTGATTTTGGTGGCTCCAGGTCTCTCGGTGCACCTTGAGCTCTTGTTCCTGTCCTCAGCACCTAAATTGTTTCCTCAGCTTGGAGGAGTAGCTGAGCTTAATCTGCAGAGTCTTTAAACCTTAATTTGGTCATGGTGTTGTTTTATTGCAGACAGAACGTCAATTCTAATTTTTTTTTTCTTTTTTTTTTTCTCCCCAATTAAAGCTTGAAGAAGAATTCCAAAGAACGGCCAACATACCCAGAGCTTATGGTGAGTGTCACACACCAAGCAGTGTGTTCAGAGCTGGTAAGGGTCACAGGAGTTGCTGAAGGCAGAAATTCCAATAGTGATGGTGTTTTGGGCTGCTTTGCATCCCTTTTTTCATAGCAGATGGGAGAATTGTGACGCTGGGAGGGTGGCTGCAAAGCAGAGATGCTCTTTGAAATCTCAGCCAGGTGCTTTTCCACCTATTTTGGAAATCAAGGGAGAAAATGCATGTTAAAGCGGGTCATGGACAACAATGAGGCTGTGAAGAGTCAGTTGGTGAGGCTCAAATCCTCCTGTGGGGTTTGTGGGATCAACTCAAACCCCTCAGTGTGCCACAGATGTCCCCAAGAGCTGCAGGAACCCAGTGGCCAAAGCGGTTTTGCTGCCCTGGTGCTTTGGAGAGGAGCATTTTTGGACAGAATAATTCCTGGATGTTGGGGACAGGGATGAGTCTGTGACTAATAATTCCAGTTATTGAATTTCATCTGCTGCCTAGAGACTGTTTACTGGGCGGGATCGCTGAGGAGTAACCAAGGAGGAAAATGCCAATAAAGGCTGGTGACAGGGGAAATGCAGGGCACTGCTCTGGGCTGTGGCTGGCAAGAACAGATTTTTCTGCTTGGGCTCCACAGCTTCATGTCCTCTCTCTCTCCCATGACTTTCTGGTGCTCCTGAAAGCTGGCAAAAAGCAGGAGAGCTCAGGAAGATGGTGCTTCACTCCTCCTTTTTAACTCTCACCCAATTTACAGCTTTCTAAAGGTGCCTAAATTTGTCATTTCTGAAGATCCTGACCCTGCGTTCCCACCCTTTCCAGTCTCAGTGCCAAGGTCACCTGGATTTAGGCTGGAAAGTGCTGAGGGGTTTCTTTAGGCACCCATATTCCCTACCCCACAATTTTTGGGATGTACATTCTGCCCCCAGAGGGTCAGACCCACCACACCTCACACCTCCTGCTCAGAGGGGAGAAGGGGCAGGTTTAGGGTGATTTTTACCTGCAAGTCATGCTGGAAATCCACAACTCTGAGTTGTAAGCAGTGAATAATTCCCGTGGCATTTGGTGCTGGGCCCTGTAATGCAATTAAACTATAAATAGATGTGATTGACACACAGCTTGGTTTCAAACAAAGAGAAGCCTGAGATTTATGCCTTTTTTTAAAAAAAACTTTATTTTTTGGGGGGCTATATCATTGCATAAATCCATCTGTATATTTTAAGCAAACTTCTGAACTTTGCCAAATGGCCTTTTATCAAGAAAGGTTCAGTGGAGCAGCTCTGTCTGCTGCAGCATTAATTCCCATTGGCAAGGGAGTGCATTTCTATTGAATTAGGTTCTTGGATCACCCCTGCAGAGTACCTCAATGCTGTGGTATTTTATGGCTGACATGGATGTTGTGAGGTCCTGCGGTTGAGGGTTGCTGTTCTGTTGGGGTTTTTTCCTCTCTCTTACAGCATTAAGTTGTGGTGCTGGATTGGAGTTGTCATTTAGACCAAGGCTGCTCCCTTGCTTTCCTGTGGAATTGAGGTTTCTCATGGAAAATGTGACTCTGTGCTATCTTGAGCATCAGGAAAGCTGATAGGGGGTGCTTAATTTCATTTAAAAACCTTTTTTTCCCAGGTGAAGTGGAGCATGAAATTACTGCAGGAGTGGTGGTCTGCACTCCCTGCCTGGCACAGGGCTCTGTGCCAGCCTCAGGGGCGTTGCTGCCACCCCTGGCACATTTTGGGTGTTTCCAGGCTGTGCTTTGGGTGTCACTTCAGTGGGTGTTGTTGGGAAGGATGAAAGTTTGACAAGAAAGTCTCACAGATCTGTGTGCTTGGCAGAAAGATTTTTAAATGTAGAATCTGAAGAAGGAATAGAAATGAAAGCCAGTTTTGATATAGAAGAATTGCTGAGCCAGTTTTACTGGATAACCAAGGAGCCAAAGAGTATTTTATGTTAGTTAGAAGGGGTTTTTATGGCTTAGAGCAAAGGATAAACCCACCCCAAACAAGAAGATGTTTTTACCAAGCACAAAGACAGCACAGGCAAACAAGGCAGCAAAGTTGCAAGTAGAAAAAAAATCTCAGAATCTTCCCCTGCAAGAAAACTGAAAAACAACTTCTAGCTTAAACTGTAATGTACTGACTTTTAGTGACTGGAGAACAGTAACATGAATATGGTAATTACAGCAGTTGGGATAGGCTAGAGATAAAAGTTAAGGGATAGATTGGTTCTACTGTATTGAGATGCTCAGCAAAGAAAAGTTTATAATGCATTGTAACCTAAGGAAAAGTATAAAATGCATTGTAACCAAAAGAAAAGTTTATAATGCACTGTAACCCTTGAGCTTTGATATGAAAAATCCTTGCTCCTAGCAGTGTTTCATCCCACCTACTCTGCCATCTTTGGGACATTTTTTTTGGTTTGCATTACGGGGCTAACATGAAGCAAAATGTGTCTGATTAATTATTAGGCAAGCAAAGCCATGAAGCATGGCTTCTTTTCTTTTGTAACCAAAAGAAATGTTTATAATGCATTGTAACCAAAAGAAAAGTATAAAATGCAGTGTAATCAAAAGAAAAGTATAGAATGCAATGTAACCAAAACCAAAGGATCTCCAGGCAGCTGTAGGCACAGCTCTGTCACCCACCACCCTGGACTGCTGTGACATCTTGGATGTAATAAACTGCATTTTATATACAATAAACTGCATTTTGGATACAATAAACTGCATTTTGTACACAATAAACTGCATTTTGGAGAGCCCCTGGAGTCCCACATCCCTCATTCAGGCTCTTACAGGCTGTAAAAGCAGGGGTGTCCTGCTGGGATAATGACAAGACATTGGGGTCACCTCAGCGTTACTCAGGACGCTTCAATTCCTGTCACTGTCTGACCTAGGGAGACTTTAAGTTTTGCCTGGATCTTTGCCCCAGCCCATTCCAGCCCTGTTTCCCACATAATTGTGCTTCCTCTTCCGTACTGGAGTGTCTTTGGATCTCTTCCCAGCCACTCTGAGCTGCCTCATCTTATTCCCTGGGTGACTTTCCACTCAAGCCCACCTTGAAAATTCTCTTTTCTCTGCTCTTCTTCTCCCTCCACCTGGCCACTGCCAGCGAGCAGCCAATGCTCAGGAGCTGAGGGGCAGCTTGGAAAAACCCTGGAAACCCCAAATTACCTTTGAAATGAGGGGTTGGAAATCAAACCTTTGTACGGAGCAGAGATCACTGCAGGGCCCTGGCTGCCTTTTGGGTCTCTCTGACCCCCTCCATACAAATAAATCCAATTATCTGCCCTGGCAGTGGGTGTCAGGCAGGATTTTGGAGGTTTTCAGGTGGGATCTCAGCTTGGTGTGTGTCTGACCCAACCAAACTGAATTGCTGCTTCTGGTGGAGAGGGGTTTTGTTGCTATGGGTGGGATTTGGTTGTGTTTTTCCTCCTCACCCATGTTTTTCCATTGGTGCTGAAATGTCAGCAGGGTTTTCTGGCAGGCTGTCTCCCCATGTTGGTCAGGATGAAGCAGTTAAACACAAAAGTGGGGCTGGTTTTCCAGCAGGGATGGTTTTCCTGTGTGAAGGAGCCTCTCCTGCTCTGAGGAGGGGCAGCTCAGGGAGGAAATGAGGCTCAGGAGTCACCAGAGGGTAAAAATACACAGATATATGACTGAGGGAAAATCACTGCAGCCAGCAAGGTTTGCCCTGCTCCAGCTGGAGGGGTAACCATGGGCTGTCTGGGGCCATTTTAGGGCACATGGAGAGGGTTTTCTAAGGGGAACCTCAGGGAGAGGGTTTTCTAAACCTTCCCTTTGCCTCCAGAGCTGCTCACTCAGCCCTCCCAGCCAGGGCAGGGTTTGGGGGAATCCAGCCAGCAAGGTTTGCCCTGCTCCAGCTGTTTTTGAGCACATGGAGAGGGTTTTCTAACCCTCCCCTTGCCTCCAGAGATTCCCACTCAGCCCTCCCAGCCAGGACAGGGTTTGGGGGAATCCAGCCTGCTCCAGCTGGATGGGTAACCCTGTTTTGGGAGGTGTTTTGGGGCACATTGAGAAGGTTTTCTAAGCCTCCCCTTCCTTTCAGAGCTGTACACTCAGCCTTACCAGCCAGGTTTGGGGGGAATCCAGGGGGGCATCACAATTCCATGGAGCAGCCCTCGTGCTCCCTGACTTGCTGTAAAAACCCAATATTGTGATGCTAAGGACAAAACCTTCTTCACTGTCTAGAGGATTGTCTGAAAAGCTTTTATGCTCATTGTGGTGAATACTAAACTTTGATTTTTTTTTTTGTTTTTTTTCTCTCTTTGCTTTCCCAGCAACATCCTTTCTTCACCCTGCACGAATCCAAAGAGACAGACGTCGCCTCTTTTGTCAAGCTCATCCTGGGAGACTGAGAACTGGACTTGGGGAAGAATTGCCCTTCTGTGGACTGGTGGGTGCAGGGGAGGGCCACGTGGCAGGACTTGTCATGGAAGCACCAACAGAAAGTGGGTTTGTTTTGCTTTGGTTTGGTTTTATTCTGAGAAACCCCCGCCCTGCCCGAGTTTTTTGAAAGGGTTCTTTGGTATCCATAGTGACATAGAACGAGCTGGTTAGTGGGAATGAATTTTAATAAGGTTGGTAACCTTAAAACAAAAAAAACCCCACAACAACAACAACAAAATTTTTTTTTTTGAATGAGTGATTTACATATTTAATGAGGTTCCTCTTCCTAACTTGCTCCTCATCCCCCTTCCCTTCCCCCTGAACCAGAATTTGCTTTGTCATGGTAATAGGTGCTATGGTAGTCATGAAGTTGTATGTAGATTTATATTTTGTCCCTTCCATTATTTTAATATTTATGTTAAGTGCTTGATGGAATAGATTTCTGTTTTATATGAGGATGAGTGCGTGGTGATGATGATGATGATGGTGATGCAAAATGAGGCCACAGCAAGCAGCACTTGTAGGGCTTTGCTGGGGAAGAGGTGTCTGGGGAGAGGAGAGAGCAGAGGAGAAGTGTCCCTGTTGTGGAATATATTTAATGTGCATCATAAAAGGAATTGATGAGCAAGACCTGCAGCTCAGCTGCTCGAGCTGTGCCGGGGAGGAAGGCCCTGGTGTCCCCTGTGTCACCTCCTGGTGTCCCCTGTGTCACCTGCAGACACACACGCCGAGTCCAGCTGGTGCTTCCAGCCCCATCCCAGCCCTGCCCTGCTGGAGAGGCAGCCTGGGAGCTCCGGAGTCCCTGGGACAGTGTCTGGGACAAGAGGAGGGGAGGAAGGAAGGAGGCTGTCAGAGGAGTTGCACAAAGAGGAGGAGGAGGAGGAGGAGGCTGCCCTGGTCCGTGCCCGCCTGCCCAGCAGCGTTGCAGTGCCCGAGGCTCCCTTGGGCTGGGGATGAGCTGCTTTGGGCCTCAGTGGGAGCTCCTCTGTCTTCTGGGGGTGGGACAGGGTCACAGGGTGCAGGGTGTGACACCCCCGAAGAATGGGGGGGTTCAGTGCTGGTTTCCAGGGCTCCTGGCACTGCTTTGGCAGCAATCCCCTCCCTGCTTGCCCACGGGGTCTGGGAGTGCCAGCGCTGCCAGGAGCCCCTGCTGGCACCTGGATTGGGCTGTGTCCAGCCCCAGATGGGCTCTGCCAGCAGCACTGGGCTCTGCCCTGGCTGCACGTGGGAGCTGCAGCCTGGGAAACCACGCAGGGACACCACAGCCCACCCTGCCCAGGAGCTCCCTGCTGCTGGGGACAAGCTGCAATGTCCCCAGCAGCAAGAGAAGGGGGCTGGTGAGGTGGGAGAGGAGCTGGAGGTCGCTCTGCCCTGGGGTCAGTCGCTGTGTGGAGCAGGGGGCACTGTGGGTGTTGCTGAGCCTGGAGTGAGGTGCTGGCTCCAGGTTAACGCTGCTTTGAGCCACAGCTGCCTGAGCTCCTCTGCGTTTGCCCTGGCTCCTTGCCCAGCCCTGCAGTGGGGCCTGCCTGTGCATCTGGGGGGCTGCACAAGTGCCTCGAGCCCCTGCACGCGCTTCCGTCCCCACCCTGGCCGGGGCACAGCCCCTCGGAGCCAGGCGTGAGCAGAAACACACCCTGCAATGGGGGAACTGTGCAGGGTGTCATGGAGCCCTGCCCTGCAGTGCTGGACCTGTGCACAATGTCACTGAACCTGTGCACAATGTCACTGAACCCTGCCCTGCAGTGCTGGACCTGTGCAGGTGTCACTGAACCTGTGCACAATGTCATTGAACCTGTGCACAATGTCATTGAACCTGTGCTCAGTGTCACTGAACAGTGACATTGCAATGCTCAACCTGTGCAGGTGTCACTGAACCTTGTTCAGGATGTCACTGACCCTGTGCAGATGTCACTGGCCCTGTGCAGGTGTCACTGAAAACGTGTGCAGGTGTCATTGAACGAACATGTGCAGAATGTCACTGACCCTGTCCAGGTGTCATTTCACCCTCTCTGCCAGGGTAGCAGCTCCATTCTCTGCTGGTGCAGGCTGGAACAGTCTGAGGGGGTTTTGGGAAGGGATCCCCTGGCAGGGCAGCGTTCAGTTCCCCTGCAGGGCTGTGGGGTGGTGGCACCTCCAGTGCTGGGGACATGCCAGCCCTTCAGAGAGGCACACAGTGACACTGCCAGCGCCTGGGCTGGCACTGTCACTGCCACTGCCACCACAGGCTGGGCTGGCACTGTCACTGTCACCACAGCCTGGGGTGCCTGGCTCTGCCCTGCCCTGGGCTGGCACTGCCACTGTCACTGTCACATCAGGCTGGGTGCCTGGGCTGGCACTGTCACTGTCACTGCCACCACAGGCTGGGCTGGCGCTGTCAGGCAGGGCAGCCTTTCTGTGATTTCTCAATGCTGGTGCAGAGCAGGGGCTCGCAGAGGGCTGGCAGCAATCAGGGTGCCATTCCCAGGTCATTGGGGCTTTGGGGAGGAGGAGGAGGAGGTTCCCCTTGCTCAGCCCTGCCCCAGGAGCCTGGCCAGCCCTCGGGGAAGGACAAGCTCCAGTCTCACCCTGAGCCCAGGGGAACCTTTCAGGTTACATTTTGTGGCGGGTGAAACACGAGGATATTTTACTTCAGTGTAATTTTAAGAGGCCTGGCCTGGCTCGTGATCTGCCCTCTCATATTCCATGGTGTGTGTGTGTGTGTGTGTTTTTGCTCTCTCTCTCTTTCTCAGAGTCACAGAGCTGTTTTGATTGATTGTCCTCAGCTGCAGCTGAAAGTCCAGCCAGCCAGTTTATAGACTTGGTTCCAGCATCAATTCTCACTTTGAAAAACATGACATTTAAAACCACCCTTTGGTTTTCCTACATATGGATCTGATGCTTTTGTTCAAGATTGTTTTTGCTGCTTTCCCCCTGCAATATAAGTCTCATTTGGACACCACATCTCCTTGACCTCAGAGCACCTTCATTTCAGTGCCATGGCAATTGACAGGTTGAATTTATGAGACACTGTCAGGGCTCAGTATTAATAGCAGATATTAATGTCACCAGCGTTTTCCAATGGAGAATTAATGGCAGTGTTGTCTGTAACCCTCTGAAAGGTTCCTCCTGCCTCCACACAGAAAGCTTGCTGCTTTCTGCTCTAATCCCTTGGTTTAATGACATTACAACAGGGCACTCAGCAATCCCTCCCTTCCCTGCTCCTTCTCCATGACTTTGCTCCTTTTCAAGTGGTTTGTGTGAGGCCAGAGTAGGTGTGGAGCTGTCTGAGGGTGGGAGGTGCTGTGAGAGGTGAGGGGAGCTGTCCCTGCATCCCTGTGGTGGACACAAAGCTTGGCCTGAGCCAGGAATTCCTTAGAGAGAAGCCAGAGCTGGGTGGCTGCAGCTCAGGGAGGAGAGCCAGGGACTCATGTGTGCCTCAGAAGAGCTGCAGGATGGGTCAGGCTCTTCTCTCTGCTGTTTAATTGTCACCTCTGTGAGGATGAAAAGCCTTTGGTGGCTGCTCAGATCTTTGTTTGGCCAAGACAGGCTCTGGGAAACCTTTCCTGAACAGCCCAGGGACGGAGGGTTAGGGATGTTCTTCACAGAAGTGTTGTGTGTTCACACAGCACAGGGATGGAGGGTTAGGGATGTTCTTCACAAGGATTTTCTGTGTTCACACAGCACAGGGTTTGGGACTGCCCCAAACTGGGATTTTTAGAGGAGCAGCTCTCAAATGCCATAAACCTGAAAGAACCCGCAAGGGATTCAGGGAGCAGAGAGAGAGCAAAGCTGTGGGGGCTCAGGCCCAGCTCTGGGTGGGTTTGCAGGGCAGGGAGGCCTCTCCAGGCTGCCACAGGGACCCCAGGTGTGATGTCCCTCCTCCTCCTCTTCCTCCCACTGCAGCCCCTGCAATCTCCAGGATGCTGCAGCCCTGCCATGGTGGAGCTCTGAAGTGTCTCTGGTAGCAAAGATGTTTTCTGGGTCCCCAGGAACCCTTTGGACCCTTAAATCTGAAAGAGGAGCTGGAGGGCATTTTCTGGTTGCTGTTTTAAGCACCAGGTCGATGCTGCTGCACTGGGTGCGATGCCCATCTCTCCTGGAGTTCTTCCAGGTGGACAAACCTTGACACAGATATCTCTGTACTGTATTTCTCTGCTTTTCCCTGGCTTTTGGTGAGTTTACTGCTGACAAAGAGGCAACTCTGACTTGTTAAAGAGGTGAAACTTCATTTCTGGAGGCAGGTGTGTGACAAAGGAAGGAGTTGATGGGTCCCTACTTGAAAAAATCTAAAAAATCTGAATTCTCAGCCCTGCTGCTCCTTGTCCAGGTAGGAAGGGGCTGAGGGCACAGCCTCAGCTGGGATTTCTCCATGCTGCTGTGTACCTGCACATTTCCCTTCTTCCCTCCATGTTCTGGAAGAGGAAATCCTGCTTGGTCAACACAGCATTGCTCCAGTGGCTGCTGTGGTGTGCTTCAGACAAGGTTCCCACCAGCTCCCATGTTTAAAAAATCCTTTTTATTCAAAACAACACCCAAAAAACCAGCCAAGATGCTCTTTTTAAATTTTTTTTTCCTTTTTCCATCTTGTTCCTGTTAGAGGAACTCTGGGAGCCTGTCTTGGTGCTTTCACTCTTTCACATGCCAAAGATCCCTCTTAGTTATGCTCCTGCCAAACCAGATCTTGTAGCCTTGCCTCTGAAACCATCCACTTCCCTGCTCCTTGGGGTTCCTTTTGTTGCTGTTGCTTTTTCACTGCATTTCCTGGTGTTTATTGACATGTCTATTGTTGAGCTTCCTGGACACATGCAGCTCTCTTTTTTTGGGATGCAGGGAAAGACAAATAGTTGCCTTCACTGGTGTGCCCCTGCTGCTGGGGAAATACTGTCAGGGCTGTGAGTGCTGCAGATGGGATGGCTCATGGTGAGCTGGGGTCATGGAGGGTGTAAACTGGCACTGCTCCACTGGAACAGAGCCAGTTTGGTCCAGCTGAGAATCTGTCCTGAGTGTCTAAACAGTTGTTACACACTA